ACTATAGACTAGACTATAGACTAGACTATAGACTAGACTATAGACTAGACTATAGACTAGACTATAGACTAGACTATAGACTAGACTATAGACTAGACTATAGACTAGACTATAGACTAGACTAGACTATAGAATAGACTATAGACTAGACTATAGACTAGACTATAGACTAGACTATAGACTAGACTATAGACTAGACTATAGACTAGACTATAGACTAGACTATAGACTAGACTATAGACTAGACTATAGACTAGACTATAGACTAGACTATAGACTAGACTATAGACTAGACTATAGACTAGACTATAGACTAGACTATAGACTAGACTATAGACTAGACTATAGACTAGACTATAGACTAGACTATAGACTAGACTATAGACTAGACTATAGACAAGACTACCGTCTAAAGTCTAGTCTATAGTCTTGTCTTAGTCTACATAGTCTAGTATATAGTCAAGTCTATATATAGACTAAATATATAGTCTATACCCTTGACTAGATTATAAACTAGACTATGAACGAGACTTCACAAGAGACTAATTTCTAGACTACATAGTGGGCTATACTTTAGGTTAGACTATAGACTAGATTACTGCCTTTATAGAGTAAACTTTGGATTATAATCCAATGACTGGTCTACAAGTAGTCTTAAATATTGACCTCACCAAACCACTGTTCGCTTTGTCAATTACTACTGCATACGCTCGATTGTAATTTGTATTATTTCTGTTTTGTAAATGTGTAAAATTGTATGATTGAGTAATGGGGAGGCAGTCAGTTAAACCGGTAATGGCAATAACATTTTAACTACCCATACTTACACGCAAATACACACACAAACACATACACTTTGATACTAAAATACCATTCAGATAAATTGTATTTAGACATGTTATTAGTTTCAATCATTCCAACTGAATGAAACAGACAAACAATCATGCACGTTGCATTACAAACATTGGAGCCAAAGTGATTAGAGCAGGCAGTTTTTTTTTTTTTATATAGTTGTTACCATTTTAGTTCATATGCATTGTTTATTTATCTATTTAATACTCGTAATAATCGAAACTACAAATAAATAAACAAATAGAAGAAAATATGTAATGAATGAATATGAGTTTAATTTGCGAGTTCATATTATAGTGTGACTATGAGTGTAAAGTATTTTATTTGTAAACGATTTTTTTCACAAAGTTTTTTTTTTTTTGGAAAAAAATCGTTTTGATTGTTTATTTAGTTTATTGTATGTGCAATTGTATGTTTATGGTTAATTTTTGGTTTATTGTTACTTTTGCCATCTATCAAATAAAAGCTGCTTGCCTCGTGACTCATGAGTGTGATGCAGTGATGGGCAATTTATGGTAATTTTTAGAATTTAATAAAAGGCTTCTGGATTATTTCCCTGAAGGCTAAATATATGCTACTCTTTATTAAAGACCAATTCCCTTTGCAACGGCTAAGCATCTATCTAACAAGCAAGTCATTATTTAACTACTTCCAAGTAATCCCTATTACATGTATTAGTCTTTAAAGTTAATTCCATTTAGCATTCTTAGGTTTAGTTTTACTTTGTAGTGCCTCTTATTGCTCTTACCTGTTTCATCGAAAAACAATGGCAATTATAGCTTAATATGACCCAGTGTTTTGATTAATGGCCATGTTTTTTTTTCGTGAATAAGCAAAAATAATATAAAACAAGTAAGAAATTATAGTCGGGCGAGGCCGACTATATAATACCCTACACCTTTGACAAAAATATAATGTGATTTAGTTGCCATAATAAAGCATTTAAGTTGAATTGTACCTTGCATTAGATATACATACTTAAGCCGTTTATTGTTGAATAAAATTGTGGACATTTAAGTGAAGTTTTGATGGGGGCTTTTCATAGGGGCTAGGGTCATATGAGAACCTATTATTATGGAATTCGTGGGTGTCATCAAGTCCTGTATACAACTTGGTTATTGCAGCTTTTTGTCGAGATATGAGTATATTAAACATAATTATGAACTTAAAAGCCCTATTCGGCGGGTTCAGTTGTATGGGGGCTAGGTGAAATAATGGACCGATGTAAACCATTTTCAACAGACTTCATCTACGGTACCAAAAGATCAAATTTCATTGAATTATCTCCAAAATTGCGACCTGTAGTTTGATTACAACTTTTAAAAGCCCTATTCGGGGGTTCAGTTGTATGGGGGCTAGGTGAAATAATGGACCGATGGTAACCATTTTCAGTAGGCTTCGTCTACGGTACCATAAAAGATCATGTGCAAAATTTCATTGAATTATCTCCAAAATTGCGACCTGTAGTTTGATTACAACTTTTAAAAGCCCTATTCGGGGGTTTCAGTTGTATGGGGGCTAGGTGAAATAATGGACCGATAGTAACCATTTTCAATAGGCTTCGTCTACGGTATCATAAAAGATCATGTGCCAAATTTCATTGAATTATCTCCAAAATTGCGACCTGTAGTTTGATTACAAGTTTTAAAAGCCCTATTCGGGGGTTCAGTTGTATGGGGGCTAGGTGAAATAATGGACCGATGTTAACCATTTTCAATAGGCTTCGTCTACGATACCATAAAAGATCATGTGCCAAATTTCATTGAATTATCTCCAAAATTGCGACCAGTAGTTTGATTACAAATTTTAAAAGCCCTATTCGAGGGGTTCAGTTGTATGGGGGCTAGGTGAAATAATGGACCGATGTTAACCATTTTCAATAGGCTTCGTCTACGATGCCATAAAAGATCATGTGCCAAATTTCATTGAATTATCTCCAAAATTGCGACCTGTAGTTTGATTACAAGGATTACAAGCCCTTTTGGGGGGTTCAGTTGTATGGGGGCTAGGTGAAATAATGGACCGATGTTAACCATTTTCAATAGGCTTCGTCCCTGGCACAATAGAAGATCATGTACCAAATTTCATTGAATTATCTTCAAAATTGCGACCTGTAGTTTGATTACAAGGTTTACATGGACAGACGGACAGACGGACGGACAGACGGACGGACATAGCTAAATCGACTCAGAAAATGATTCTGAGCCGATTGGTATACTTTAAGGTGGGTATAGGACCAATATTATTGTGCGTTACAAACATCAGCACAAACCCAATATACCCTCCCCACTAAAGTGGTGTAGGGTATAATTAAATGTTGTTTGTAGTATATTTTAAGCTGAACGTCATTCATTAGCAATAGAAAGTCATACCTTACCAAACTAACTATTAAACTATTAAAAAAAAAAACAATAATAATAACAATAAAAATTATCAAAGTAATTACAAAGATAACTGGCAATTATTAGAGCCAGTCACTGATGGACAGACCTATGGATGAAATGATAAGTAGACTTAGGAAATATTAATAATTTAGAAGGAAGTCATTATGGAATTTTAATGACTTTTATAACAATGTGGTTTACATAGAGTTGTTTAAATAAATCGAAAATTAATTAGTTAATAATAAGGCTAGTAAGTTAAATATAGTTAGTTTCTAAAGTTTGGACCAGCTGTAGTCGAGACTAGTCCTAGATAGTTTAAATTAGGAAATATACTATAGCCAAGACAATACTAAAGTCCACTCAATAGACTAGACTAAAATCTAGATCACAGAAATGACTATAATCCTGAAAATAGAATATATTACAATCCAAACTATAAACTATAGATTAGATAATAGTTTAGACCAATCGGTAGTCCAAACTATAGAGTCAAGCGAGTAACGTATAGTTCAGCGAGTAAACTATAGTCCAAACTATAGATTAGACTGTAGTTCAGACTATATAATAGACTATTGGCCAGATTATAGACAGAAGTATAATCCAGTCTATAAACTAGAAAATATAGACTAGCCCAACATTGTCTAGACTATATAATAGACCTTAGTCTATTTAGACAAGAATATTATTCAGACTGTAGACTAAACTATAGTCCAGACAATATATTAGTCAAAGGTCCAGACTATAGACTAGATTATAGTCCAGGCTGTATACTAGACTATAAACCAGACTGTATACAAAACTACAGGGCAGACTATATAATAGACTATAGACGAAGCTTAGTCGAGACTATAGACTAGACTATAGTCCAAACATTGCACTAGACTATAGGTAAGACTATAGACTAAACTATAGCCCAGACGATAGACTAAACCATAGTCCAGCCAAAAGACTAAAATATAGTCAAGTTACATATTAAACTATAGTCTAGACTATGGAATAAATAACGACTATAGTCCTTATATACTAGACCATATTACAGTTTATATTCTAGGCTATAAATCCATACTATAGACTAGACTATAGTTCACAATATGGACTATACTAAATCCTATCGAGAGTATGGACTTTAGACTAAACTATAGTCCCGGCTGTAGGCCAAACTTTAGTCCATACCATAGATTAGAGCATATATAAACTACAGATTAAAGTATAGGTTTGACTATATAGTCCAGATTATAGACCAGACAATAGACTGCAGTCCAGATTAAAGTATATTCCATTCTATTGACTAAACTATTGCCCAGACTATAGTTCAGACCATAGACTATATACTCAAATATATTACAGGCTATATACTAAACTATATCCCAGACTATAGACTAAACTATAGTCCCTAATATAAGACAAATAATAGTCCATACCCTTGTGCAAACTATAGACTATACTCTAGTCTAGGCTATAGACAGACTATAAACTAAACTATTGTCCAAAGTAAAGTAAAGACTTAGGACTAGATTATACTGTATATGTAACTATAGTCCAGAATATAGACTAAGGTATAGTCTATACTATAGATTAATATATAGTGCAGACTATAGTGTAAACTGGAACTAGATTTTGAACATTATTTCCCCCGTTTTCTCAATGTCTGTTGATTTTGTATCGTAACGATATATTATCAGTTTTTTGTACAAAAAATATGTTATTTATCGACTATACCATATCCGGAGGTAGAAATAAGTCGTCTGAGTTCATAAAATCAAATTTTGTTTTTCATACACTAAACACATTACTTTATTTATTTATCCATTTATTGCAAAATTTATTGTACAACTTTTTTTTCAAAAATGTTTATTATTATCTAAATAGGTACTTTAAAACAACACTCCTTTAACAAGCCCGCTTGATACATGGCGCTAAGTACTACATCCATTTACATATTAACATCCAAATCAAAAATGTATATGAAAATGTAAATCCAAATGATGATCCAAATGATCATCGACATCAACGTGTGGTAATTCCAAAAATTTAATATACGCTAAAAATGTTGTCCAACACATGCTGAAGAATGATGTAAAAATGACTTGATTCTGGACTGGCACAAATGCAAAATTAATCGTTTGCACACATGGCCAATAAATTATACCAATTCTGTATGCATCAAAGAATTTAGAGCTGACCTGATTTCGATAAAATAATAAAGAAAAGAAAAAAGAAGAAAATAAATTAAAATAAGTAACAATCGTGTAAAGTAATAAGGTAAGGTAAAATATTATTTATAATATATTGCAATAATTATTATTAAATTTTTGTATAATCTATGGCTGTTGTAGATGTAGAAACAAAAGAAACATTAATTATTATAATTATCATTAATTCATGTTACAAAATTATACTTTGGGGAAACATTTATTTAGTACTTGCGTTTTTTTTTTTTTTTTTTGCTTAATTTATGGTTGTCATGTCAAAATGTATATAGTGTGTACATTGTTTCAATTATTATACCGTCGTTATAAATTTTAATTCATTAACGTGGGCTGTGCGATAATGATTAAAGTGATTATTTTTTAAAATGTCTGAAATACCTATTACACTATTGAAGAAATTATAGATAGTTCTATCTAAAAATTGGTACAGAACTAGAGTCCAGACAACATATAAACCTAAAATCCAGACCAATTATGGTATAGGCCATATCTCAGATAATGCTAATAGATTATAGTCAAGACAACAAACTTTAATAACAATAAGCTGCACTATTTAATAGACTACAGACTAGACTATAGACTAGACTATAGACAAGACTACAGACAAGACTACATACTAGAATATAGAATAGACTAGAGACTAGACTAGAGACTAGACTATAGACTAGACTATAGACTAGACTATATACTAGACTATAGACTAGTCTATAGACTAGACTAGTCTACAGACTAGACTATAGACTAGACTATAGACTAGATTATAGACTAGACTATAGACTAGACTATAGACTAGACTATAGACTAGACTATAGACTAGACTATAGACTAGACTATAGACTAGACTATAGTCTAGACTATAGAATAGACTATAGACTAGACTATAGACTAGACTTTAGACTAGACTATAGACTAGACTATAGACTAGACTATAGACTAGACTGTAGACTAGACTATAGACTAGACTATAGACTAGACTATACACTAGACTATAGACTAGACTATAGACTAGACTATAGACTAGACTATAGACCAGACTATAGTCTAGACTAGACTATAGACTAGTCTATAGACTAGACTATAGACTAGACTATAGACTAGACTATAGACTAGACTAGACTATAGACTAGACTATATACTAGACTATAGACTAGACTATAGACTAGACTATAGACTAGACTATAGACTAGACTATAGACTAGACTATAGACTAGACTATAGACTAGACTATAGACTAGACTATAGACTAGACTATAGACTAGACTATAGACTAGACTATAGACTAGACTATAGACTTGACTATAGACTAGACTATGGACTAGACTATAGACTTGACTAAAGACTAGACTATGGACTAGACTATAGACTAGACTATGGACTAGACTATAGACTAGACTATAGACTAGACTATAGACCAGACTATAGACTAGACTATACTAGACTACAGACTAGACTATAGACTAGACTATAGACTAGACTATAGACTAGACTATAGACTAGACAATAGACTAGACTATAGACTAGACTATAGACTAGACTATAGACTAGACTATAGACTAGACTATAGACTAGACTATAGACTAGACTATAGACTAGACTATAGACTAGACTACTAGCCTAGACTATAGACTAGACTATACACTAGACTATATACTAGCCTATATACTAGACTATAGACTAGACTATAGAATAGACTATAGACTAGACTATAGACTAGACTATAGACTAAAGACTAGACTATAGACTAGACTAGAGACTAGAATATAGACTAGACTATAGACTAGACTATAGACTAGACTATAGACTAGACTATAGACTAGACTATAGACTAGACTATAGACTAGACTATAGACTAGACTATAGACTAGACTATAGACTAGACTATAGACTAGACTATAGACTAGACTATAGACTAGACTATAGACTAGACTATAGACTAGACTATAGACTAGACTATAGACTAGACTATAGACTAGACTATAGACTAGACTATAGACCAGACTATAGACTAGACTATAGACTAGACTAGACTAGACTACAGACTAGACTATAGACTAGACTATAGACTAGACTATAGACTAGACTATAGACTAGACAATAGACTAGATATAAACCTAGACTTAGACAGACTATAAGACTTACTTAGATAGACTAATAGACTGGACTATAGACTAGACTATAGACTAGACTATAGACTAGCCTATAGACTAGAAACTATAGACTAGACTATAGACTAGCTATAGACTAGACTATAGCGAGACTATAGACTAGACTATAGACTAGACTATAGACTAGACTGTAGACTAGACTATAGACTAGACTATAGACTAGACTATACACTAGACTATAGACTAGACTATAGACTAGACTATAGGAGTAGACTATAGACCAGACGTATAGTCTAGACTAGACTATAGACTAGACTATAGAACTAGACTATAGACTAGACTATAGACTAGACTATAGACTAGACTATAGACTAGACTATAGACTAGACTATAGACTAGCTACTAGACTATAGACTAAGACAACTATAGACTAGACTATAGACTAGACTATAGACTAGACTATAGACTAGACTATAGACTAGACTATAGACTTGACTATAGACTAGACTATGGACTAGACTATAGACTTGACTAAAGACTAGACTATGGACTAGACTATAGACTAGACTATGGACTAGACTATAGACTAGACTATAGACTAGACTATAGACCAGACTATAGACTAGACTATACTAGACTACAGACTAGACTATAGACTAGACTATAGACTAGACTATAGACTAGACTATAGACTAGACAATAGACTAGACTATAGACTAGACTATAGACTAGACTATAGACTAGACTATAGACTAGACTATAGACTAGACTATAGACTAGACTATAGACTAGACTATAGACTAGACTATAGCCTAGACTATAGACTAGACTATACACTAGACTATATACTAGCCTATATACTAGACTATAGACTAGACTATAGAATAGACTATAGACTAGACTATAGACTAGACTATAGACTAAAGACTAGACTATAGACTAGACTAGAGACTAGAATATAGACTAGACTATAGACTAGACTATAGACTAGACTATAGACTAGACTATAGACTAGACTATAGACTAGACTATAGACTAGACTATAGACTAGACTATAGACTAGACTATAGACTAGACTATAGACTAGACTATAGACTAGACTATAGACTAGACTATAGACTAGACTATAGACTAGACTATAGACTAGACTATAGACTAGACTATAGACTAGACTATAGACTAGACTATAGACTAGACTATAGACCAGACTATAGACTAGACTATAGACTAGACTATAGACTAGACTACAGACTAGACTATAGACTAGACTATAGACTAGACTATAGACTAGACTATAGACTAGACAATAGACTAGACTATAGACTAGACTATAGACTAGACTATAGACTAGACTATAGACTAGACTATAGACTGGACTATAGACTAGACTATAGACTAGACTATAGACTAGCCTATAGACTAGACTATAGACTAGACTATAGACTAGACTATAGACTAGACTATAGACTAGACTATAGACTAGACTATAGACTAGACTATAGACTAGACTATAGACTAGACTATAGACTAGACTATAGACTAGACTATAGACTAGACTATAGACTAGACTATAGACTAGACTACAGACTAGACTATAGAATAGACTATAGACTAGACTATAGACTAGACTATAGACTAGACTATAGACTAGACTATAGACTAGACTATAGACTAGACTATAGACTAGACTATAGACTAGACTATAGACTAGACTATAGACTAGACTATAGACTAGACTATAAACTAGACTATAGACTAGACTATAGACTAGACTATAGACTAGACTATAGACTAGACTATAGACTAGACTATAGACTAGACTATAGACTAGACTATAGACTAGACTATAGACTAGACTATAGACTATAGACTAGACTATAGACTATAGACTAGACTATAGACTATAGGCTAGACTATAGACTAGACTATAGACTAGACTATAGACTAGCTATAGACTAGACTATAGACTAGACTATAGACTAGACTATAGACTAGACTATAGACTAGACTATAGACTAGACTATAGACTAGACTATAGACTAGACTATAGAACTAGACTATAGACTAGACTATAGACTAGACTATAGACTAGAACTATAGACTAGACTATAGACTAGACTATAGACTAGACTATAGACTAGACTATAGACTAGACTATAGACTAGACTATAGACTAGACTATAGACTAGACTATAGACTAGACTATAGACTAGACTATAGACTAGACTATAGACTAGACTATAGACTAGACTATAGACTAGACTATAGACTAGACTATAGACTAGACTATAGACTAGACTATAGACTAGACTATAGACTAGACTATAGACTAGACTATAGACTAGACTATAGACTAGACTATAGACTAGACTATAGACTAGACTATAGACTAGACTATAGACTAGACTATAGACTAGACTATAGACTAGACTATAGACTAGACTATAGACTAGACTATAGACTAGACTAGACTATAGACTAGACTATAGACTAGACTATAGACTAGACTATAGACTAGACTATAGACTAGACTATAGACTAGACTATAGACTAGACTATAGACTAGACTATAGACTAGACTATAGACTAGACTATAGACTAGACTATAGACTAGACTATAGACTAGACTATAGACTAGACTATAGACTAGACTATAGACTAGACTATAGACTAGACTATAGACTAGACTAGACTATAGACTAGACTATAGACTAGACTATAGACTAGACTATAGACTAGACTATAGACTAGACTATAGACTAGACTATAGACTAGACTATAGACTAGACTATAGACTAGACTATAGACTAGACTATAGACTAGACTATAGACTAGACTATAGACTAGACTATAGACTAGACTATAGAC